CTCTCTCTCTCTCTCTCTCTCTCTCTCTCTCTTTTCTTGTGCTTGATCAGTGTTCATGAGACATCTAACATGTAGTTCCATTAATCACCCTTATGACAGACAGGAGAATGTGCGCGTGCGAGGGAGGACATTTACGTATGTCTGTGAGAACGCGCATGTGCGTGTTAATGCGTGTGTGTATGAGTGTTGTGTGTATGTGCTGTGTGTGTATGTATGCCTTGTATGTTTGTGTGTGTGTGTGTATGTGTGTGTGTGTGTGTTTGTGTATATGTATGTGCGTGCGTGTGCACGTGTGCGTGCGTTTTGTGTGTAAGTGTGAGGAGGAAAGGAGAAGGCCTGAAGTTCAATTTGTCGATAGGAAGCTCAGGACATCAACTTGACGGTCAAAGGGAAGTGACCGAGGATAATAATCAGGTTCTTTAGTTTGTCATGTGTTAATTCCCCTGATGCTGGTTGTTTCATTTTGCCTGAAGCATGTTGGTGTCGAATTGCTCACGTTATATACCGGTCCACTTTAAAAATTGGTAAATGTTTAACGGCGCTCGCAACTGCACAAGGCCATATGAGCGCACGGGACACAATAAACATTTTCAGTTGGTAGGAAATTTTTGATTTTGCCCCAGTGGCAACCGAAGCCTACTCTTATCGATTTTAGACCACCACAGGATCTTTAACGTGCGAAACTTGCACACGGGACCTCCGAGATTTTTCGTCCTTGTCCGAGAAATCTAGGTATAGATCTTTCCTACCAGAAGATCAGGGGTGGGGCTGAAAGACAGCAGTAAGAAGAAGCCAATGAGTAGCAGTAGAAAGGCTGCAGAAAGAGTCAGGAGCCCAGAGGTGGAGGCAAATGAGGTGAGGGGGTTGGGGGCAGAACGAGGAGACGAAAGCAGACGACACAACATTGCTAGAGAGCAGGAAAGGAAGTGAAAGGAGACAATTTTAGAGAAGAAAATTTTTTGGTCGCTACCCGGATTCGAACCCAGAACCTCTGAGTGAGACGCCAACACCTTAACCTCTTGGCCACGAGAGCCCCCTCCGTCATTATCTGGATTCGACCTCAGGACCTATTGAAGGAGAGGCGAACACCTTAACCTCTCGCAGCTAGTGGAGACGGTTGGAAAATATTCTTTAAAACATAGCTAGTGGAGACAGTTGGTAAATAGAAAATAAAATACAGTTCGTGGAGACGGTTGGAAAATGGAAAATAAAATACAGCTACTGGAGACAGTTGGACAATATGAATTAAAATACAGGTACACGAGACGGGTGGAAAATAGAAAATAAAATACAGGTAATGGAGACGTTGTAAAAATATAAAATAATTTCAGCTACTAGGTTGAAATATAGAAAATAAAATACAGTTCTTGGGGACAGGTGGAAAATATTTTTTTTTAAAATACTGATACTGGAGACGGGTGGAAAATAGAAAATAAAATTCAGTTCGTGGAGACGGTGGCAAAATGGAAAATAAAAATCCCCCACTGGAGACGGTAGAAAAATAGAAAATAAAATACAACTAGAGGAGATGGTTAGAAAAATAATTCTAAAAATGAAAT